ATCATCAACAGTGAGATGTAACCCAGTGATTAAAGGAGAGCAGCAGAGCTTCCCATGGTTCATCTTGGACCAGTTCAGAGCTCAGTGATCAGATCTGTTCTCTCTCTGGTTTCTGGTTCTAACAGCAGAGCTGAAATGAAAGCTGTGGGTCCAAACTTCATCAGTCAGAGGAGAACCAGCACTGATGATGAGCTCACAGCTGCTCAAATTTTTTTATTTTATTTAATTTTATCTTTATTTAACCATGAAAAAAATCCCATTAAGATTAAAAACCTCTTTTTCGTGGGAGTCCTGGCCAAGAGGCAGCAAACTTACATAAGAAACAAAGATACATTAAAATAAATGACAGGTACATAAAAAAAAAAACAATTACAGATCATTAAGGCTGCTTCAAATTCTTTCACTTTCAGCTTAAAAACATTTAAAGATAAAAACTCAGTCAATTTCCAGTTTCTTTGGAAACTGGAAATTGACTGAGTTTTTATCTCTGGTTCTTTCCTCTCCTTGTGTGTGGAAAAATTCCACACACAAGGAGCTGCGTAGCTAAAGGCTTTCTTCTCTAGTTCTCTGCGGGCAAAACGAACAGTTAGCAACAGCTGATGGTTGGATCTCAGGGCATAAGAAGCCATGATTTTCTGTGTAAGTAAGATATAAATGAAAGAGGGCAGTAATCCAAGAAGGGCCTTTTAAATAAAAGCGTACCAATGACACTGCCTTCTGGTAGAGAGGGAGGCCATCCCACCTGAAAGTACTGGTCACAGTGATGTCATGGCACTTGGGTGTCCATTGACCATTCCCAGAAAATGAACCAGTAAATCATTTATTCTTCCAGTCATAGTTCATCAAATATTTGTCTCTAGTTTAGATTTTATAGCAGAAACTCCAAAAAGATCTAATAAGCCGTCATCCAACTTTATATGATGATTGATGATGGTTCATGTTCAGATAAACTGATCCACTGTCAGAAACTGTTCACCTTCTCATCAAACCTGAGCTCCATTACTCCTGCATTAAATAGATGCAGATAGAGTAGAGCTACAGCTCCCTCTAGTGGCGAATCACCTACATAACAACATACCTTCTCTAATAAAGAAGACTGAAAGTAACTCTGCTTTGTGAAACGGGCCTCTGAACTGAATATTCATTAATAGTTACTTTCATATCCTCCCATTATTCCCCCTCAGTGAGAGGAAGATGAGGATCCAAAGCTTCAGAACCAGCATCCTCCAGGAGCTTCAGTCTGTGAGACGTTGTTCTTCATCAGAGTGAACCTTCACAGCTTTAAAGATGAACTTTGGTTCTTCTGTTGCTGTTTATTGATCAGAGATCTGCAGTCTCTTCCTCTCAGCTCCTTCTGCTTTAATGCTTCAGCTAACAGCTAATGATCTGAGATGAACTCCATCAATAAATCCACTGCTGCTTC